ATATATTATTATTAATACCAAAATTACATTTTATACAATTTTTGACTATCTGTCTGTTTGTACTGGCTAATCTCTGGAATGGCAAGACCGATTTTGCAAAACTTTTATTGGCAGGTAGCTGATATACTAAGGAGTAAGTAGCTACTTTTATGTTGAAAAATTGATACAATGACGCCACTCAGCCGACGAGGCAGTGATTACAAGGGTGATTACAAGGGACTCATAACATAAATAGTGAAAAGTGGGTGTTACATTGTACAGTGGTATAATGTGCACCTATTGCCTACCACTTCGGGGATAAAAGGCGTGATGTTATGTTATGTATAGGTATTTCCAAATCCCCTAACCCCTGAAAAGACTGGCAAAGCACTTGTAGCAGCCCAGCAACTGTAGCCAAACGCCATTTAGCGCTTGTCTACATGTAGAATAGAAAACCAAATTATATGGAGTTGTCAGTGTCATCCCCATACATTTAGATTCTACTCTCTCGGTAGACAAGCGCTAAAGTGGCACTTGGCTAAAGGCACAGGTATTACGAGTGTCAATAGACAGCGTCTATTGCTTACCGGATGACCAGTCTACTCGTTCGCTTCTCCATCTATGCCATACTTATAAAAACGATTATACAAGGTGTTGTTTTAAAGCCGCGTCATTTTCTAGGAGGTACCTCGGCTATCGATTCTGAGTCCGAAACAATAAAAAAAATTGTAGGTAAATATTTTTCATTTTTTTGTAAATTACGAAAATCCGTAAGTGCGAAGTACACGCCGCCATCTTGTAACTAGCCTCTATAACGCGGCTCTACACACACAAACTCAAACACGTTATTGATATTATTCCTAATTCCATAAAACTCCAATAAGAAACATTGCCGTCGCTTATTCTGAAATACTGTCGAACTTAAACGATTTATTATAGCCGTATTTTTAACTATTGGCCCGAAATTTTCTCTTACATTAAACCTTTATGACTTCTGTGACTTGCCCCCGAGATATGTGAGGGTTTCAAAACTACACCTTGTATAGTATTTTTTCACATCAGCTGGTCACCCAAGTAACACGCATAATACACAATCTCCTTTTTCCACAATATTTTTTCGAAAAAGGAGTTACTTATTTACTCCTTTCTCTCTATCTCTATAATCTCCATCTCTATGGTCGATAATCAGCGCCGTCAATGGACTCCAACCAGCAGCACTATCGGAGTCACAAGTAGGGTAGCTTACTGGCAGTAATGCCGTTAGACACTGCATCAACCATCATCATCATCATAACATCACGCCTTTTTAGCCCCGAAGGGGTAGGCAGAGGTGCACATTATGGCACTTAATGCCACTGTACAATGTAACACCCACTTTTCACTATTTATGTTATGAGTCCCATGTAATATGGGGTGAGCCTATTGCCATATACCGGGCACAATTCCAGACTCACAGATTTTTTTGAAAAATCCCAGTAATACTTTGCCCGACACGGGAATCGAACCTGAGACCCCTTGCCCAGCAGTCGCACTTGCGACCACTCGGGCAACGAGGCAGTGCAGCAGGCACCAACCATGCAGTAACACATCCCACTTACCATCCAACTCCTCATCATCTTCATCATAGTCCTCGTCGGAGAAGTACTCAGTGAGCGAGCTGCCCGCCGACTGGTTGGACATGATGGAGCTCGTCCTGTTGCTCTGTTCCGGTAGGGAGGTGCTCGTGTGACGGATGCCGTTGGACCTGGAGAGAGGGGAATGAACTTTAATTAAGTCAATTTCGGCAGGGCTGGATTACCTACTTAAGTAAATTAGTCCAGAATTTTTTTTGCTGTATTTATTTTGTATTATAGTTTCTTTAACTGACTGCCTCGTTGGCCGAGTGGTCGCAAGTGCGATTGCCGGGTAAGGGGTCTCGGGTTCGATGCCCGGGCCGGGCATCGCAATACTGGGTTTTTAAAAATCTCAGTAGTAGCACGGAGTCTGGAAATATGCCCGGTATATGGCAATAGGTTCACCCCCTATTACATGGGACTCATAACATAAATAGTGAAAAGTGGGTGTTACATAATTACATTGTGCAGTGGTATAATGTGCACCTCTGTCTACCCCTTCGGGGATAAAAGGCTTGATGTTATGTTTGTTAAGTTTCTTTAAGAAGGGGTTTTTTGAGGGGAATAAGAAAGGAGTGCATTTATTTTATTGCATAAGCCGGTAAACTAGCTGACGGATCACCTGATGGTAAGCAATCGGCGCCACCCATGGACACCGGCAACACCAGAGGTGTTGAACCTTGAGGACTACAGATACAGTCCGGACCAGTTATAACCAACTTTTTCTTATTGCATAAGCCGGTAAACGATCACACGGATCACCTAATGGTAAGCAATCGGCGTCGTCCAAGGACACCTGGAACACCAGAGTCGTTACAAGTGCGTTACCCGCCTTTTGGGGATTAGGAGTTTGAGGATCGTTGGGGATTCAGGGATTGGGGAGATTGGGGAAGGGGAGGGTAATTAGGCCACCGGTAACCTCACTCACACGACGAAACACAACGCAAGCGTTGCTTCACGTCGGTATTCTGCTCGGCCGTGGTATCACTCCGGTCGAGCCGGCCCATTCGTGCCGAAGCATGGCTTTTGAACTAATTGAAGATTCGATATTTACCTGAATGCCGTGGACAGTACGCCGCTGTACCCTTGCGCAGAGCTTGCCCCAGTCAGCCCCATTGTCGGACTTGACTCAATCGGGAGCAGCTTCTTATTCTTTATTAGGACCTGAGACGACACAAAAGCATGTAAAACAAATTTAAATGAAGGTATTATTTTTTTTTTTATAACATAAGCCGGTAAACGAGCAGACAGATCACCTGATGGTAAGCAATCGGTGCCGAACATGGACACTCGAAACACCAAGGATTCGGGGATTCGGGAGACGGGGTCTAGGGGGATAATTGGGCCTCCGGTAACCTCACTCACACGACGAAACACAACGCAAGCGTTGCTTCACGTCGGTACTCTGTGAGGCCGTGGTATCATTTCGGTCGAGCCGGCCCATTCGTGCCGAAGCATGGCTCTCCCACACTTGAATTGACTTTGCTTTCTTCCTTTTTTATTGGCATAATAGATTATTCTAAGTATATGTTGACATGGCTTTTGACGGACGGATCCTGACGGTATGTGATCAGCGCCACCTCTGCACTGACAGTCCACCTATATAGTTCAGTTTACTTCAGGACTATGAGTCGTCTCTTCATAAGAGGGTATGCTAAATTCTCCATGCTTGGCTAGGTGGAGACAACTGTCTAGATGGTTCAGGTTTATCAGAAAGCTCTGATGCTCTTGGTCTTTGTCAGGTCCTTTGTCACCTTTTATGATATCCTCACGAATATTGGGAACGGAGATTTTATTCGATGTAAAATGAATACTAACCTTGTATTTAAGCTGTTCTGGACTAGGCAGCCTCGGCTCGTCAGTGTAGTCGACTTCAAAGAGGAATGACGTCACCAGTTTCTCTCCAAACACTGCCTGGATGAAGAGGACGTCAATAGAGTATCAGCTTAATATTTTTTTAGGTATGTATTTATATATTGGGCAAATAATTTGATCAGTTATCAGGATGATTCTTATATAAAATATACCATTTTGTTTTGTTACTATGTTATGTTATACAAATAAAACAAAATGATATATATTCTAATTTCTTGTTGTTTGTCGTAGCAAAATAAATGGTTTTTCTTTGTGTGTTTGTTATTGTCAGGAGAAGGTTCTTATGACAGAAAAAAAAGCTTGAAAATCCTAAGGGAACCGAAGAAAATGAGATTGCGCGTACGAAGTCGAAGAAGCTCATATTTCATAAAATTTGTTATAAAAACTATTAGTTATTATAAAGAAAGATAAACATAACAGACCTCAAACGTGCTAGCCATGACTTGCTGCTGCGGTAGGCTGCAGTGGTTCTCTATACTCAGGATGAGAGGGTACGGAGATGCCACGAACGCACTCCTAGTATGACAAGAAATAAAGATATTTTACAATGAGATTGGATAAGATGCTGTTTCACACACATCACATCACATCACATCACATCACATCACATCACATCACATCAACAGCCTTTACTACTCTGTCAAGAAAGTACCGAGAAAAGATCAATAATACACAAAATGTCTGTTATTCATCCAAATTTATTTTATCACCTTCAAAGAATGCTCCTTTAGAAACGATACACTTGCGCCAACGAATAATCCATTCATCAATACATTTTTTAAACGCTGCTTCCGGAATTGAGTTCAGTTCTAGTCGCGAATTCTCCTCTATGTCTTCTATCGATTAAAAACAGGTGCCACGAAGTGGTAATTTGAGTTTAGGAAAAAGAAAAAAGTCAGCAGGAGCCATACCTATCTGGTGAATATGGTGGTTGCTGAACGGTATTTGTTGAGTGTTTGGTCAAAAATTCGTTCACAATGATAGCGAAGTGCGAAGGCGCATTGTCGTGGTAGAATTTAAGACAAACTCTTTGTTCGATGTTTTTTTCCATTATGAAATTCGCAGTACACACTATTATACTAATACCAGCACTGTATTTAATATAAATAACAGATGCAACTCAAACTGCGCGCCAAAATGGAAAACAGTTGTACCAATGAAAAAAACTACAAAAAAAAATTTGAATTTGGAACCATAAACAAATCATCCATTCCCGATACTTTTTTGACTGAATGTAAGTGTCCACTGTTGACCAAAAGCCTCTTCTCCCACGTAGAAGCATAATAAGCGGGCGTCTTATACCTCCTGGCCACGTCTACCCCAACGGTCATCGGTTCTTCGACAAATGAATGTGCGACTCTTTTTGTGCCTTTAGGCTTAATTCACTCTTTCTCCTGCAGTAATTCACCGAGGGAAGTGAAAACTATCACTTTTTTCTTCTTCTCCTCTGATTCACTTCGTTGCGGGAACCAAGACAGTTATTCGTGTCCCTGGGACGCGCCGGACTTCAGTACCTATTTCGGTGCTTTCATGATTGTATCTACTGTAGATCCTGGCTTACAGGAATTGCAGCAGGTTGTACCATTAAAAGAAAATGTGACCGGTCCACTGCCACTGAAGCTAAGCTATTGAACTATATCGACGGTTTTGATTGTCTAAAGAATTACTTAAGTCGAACCTATGACGCCTAAAACAAAATAAATTAAACAAGAACGAACCTAGCAATAGTTTCCACCACTCTTCGGAATGGTATCTTGGTCGTGAAGGTATGTCCATGGTATATGACGGGGCTGCCGTCGTCCCCGTCCCAGCAGTCCAGCTCCACACATCTACACCCGGTTAACAGGACCTGGGGACAAAATATATAGCAATATTAATGAAAGGAAATATTTTTTTAAGGGGAAAAACATCATCCAATGACTTCTCCTTCTCCTTCTCTCGCCCAGGTGAGGCGAGAGGAAGTGTCAGACTCTTACTGAGTAAACACCACGACGTTCCTACTCCTGCTTTAGCTTTTGTTCGGTAAGATAACCAGTACCGTATTTACCACAAGGACACTCGGGACCCGTACCCAGGGGGTCCCTAGGGATCGACAAACGACGGACTCGTGTAGGGAGTTTGATTCTCTTATGGAAAAAATCTTTATGCGCTTCACAAATTGTTGTTCCGGGTCTGGGTGTCATGTGTATGTGAACTTGTATGTTTGTAAACGTACCCACGACACAGGAGAAAATCCTAGTGTGGGGCAACGTTACAAAAACAATCCAAAAGGGCTCCAAATTGTTGTGTGCCCAAAGGCGGTGTCTAAGACGGCCCTGAAGGTAACCCATTACACCCAGGTTGTCGGCAGGCCGATATACTTAAATTAATATGACCTATGGAATTGGCTTACACCTATATAATATTCTAGTTGCTCGTTAGTCGAGTGGTCGTTAACGAGACTAGCGAGCATTGGGTCTCAAGTTCGATTTCCGGGTTATATTATGCGATTCGTCGAAAATCTTTTTGTAATAGCACGATTCTAAGTGTAAGTATAGGTTCAATTCCGATTTAATAAACTTTTTTTGAGGGGGGAAAATCATCCAATCACTTTTCCCGCTTGGGTAAGGTGAGAGGGAGTGTCAATCTCTTACTGACTAAAAACCACCCCGTTCCTACTCCTGCACTTGAAGCCCCCGGCAGCCCGTTACGGCCCCCGCGGCTCCGAAAAATATAGATAGGTACCTATCTTTGCACGTGCACCCTCTGCTTACCCCATTAGGGATTAAAGAACTTGACAGTCTGTTTCCATTAAAATAAATCTCGTAATTTAATTTCTGCTGTAAATTCATTGATCTGTTTCAAACATTTGTGTTTAATCGTAAAGCAGTGAGCACATTTAGTATTAGTAACATTTCATTAACCTCTGTGCTCATCTACCCTTTAGTTAAGTCGTGTAGATAATTTCATTACGGCTCCACATCAAACTGTAAAAAACCAGTATAAACTGAGCTTCAAATATGTGGAAAGGCCATACGAAGCGAGATCATGAAATACTGGTGTATTTACGTCTCGATTTCTAGTAGTGCCCCTTTGAAGTTCAGTGTAATGTAAATGGATTCCACGCATGCGCGCAATTATTGATTAGGGCTCCCCTTCCCTTTGAAACCTAAGGTCATTCAACTAAACTCAGTAACTGTAAAACACTTTAATCTGTCTGCGCACTTGCTTTGTTTTAGTCGATTTTCGTAACGATTCTTAAAATCGCTTAGTGAAACCACACTTTTTGGGCATAGACAAAAGATTTAGTAATGTCTATTTGACGTAAGTCTTGTGTCAAACATAACCTCAAGCTGGAATAGTTTGTTTGTTTGCCGGTTTTGAGCATTAAATGTTTTAAAAGTTTAAAAATGAAGGATACACCAGGAGAAATTGATACTAGAAATGTCGTTAAAAATCGGGAGCTGCTTTACCGCATGATAATAAGGTAATTGATGTCGATTTTCCGTTGTATATCTTAAGCTTATACGTCGTAAATTACCATGTAAATATTTTTGTTATAATTTCAAAACAAATGTAAATAAGTTTTAATTTATAGGTTAAATATGTTTATTATAGGTCCGATTCACTTTCAAACTAGACATTATATTTTTATCTTCCAGTCAATTGTACTACGATGGATTCCAGCCTATTGCCGCGACATTGGCGTCGGCTGTTCATGCTGACCCGCCATGTCCACCCAGCGATCGGTTAGTAGAATAAAATTACTTGAAAATCAACATTATTAAGATAATCATTATGTGTGTCATGCACATATTTTCAACAGTTATATTAAAACTAGACCATAACTAACTGCTAGATTCATTTTATTGTTGTTGCTGTCATAAATATAATCTTTTTTTACATTAAAGAAATTGTCTCGGGTTCGATTCTCAGGTCGGGCAGAGCTATGCTGGGATTTTTAAAAAATCCTTAATAATAGCATGGAGTCCGAATGGCAATAGACTCACCACCTATTACATGGGACTCATAACATAAAATTGAAAAATGGGTGTTACATTGTACAGTGGCATTAAGTGCCGTAATGGATTAAAAAGATGTGATGTTATGACAATAAGATTTTAATTTACTTAAATAATTATAATGTGTATGTTACTTAGACTCCTGAATCTAATGATGGTCGGCCTACAACATGAACCAGATCGCAAGGACAGGCTCGCAGCTTCCAGCGGAGCTGAACATCTGCTCGGAACTACTGGATTTGGTGAGTAGATACTACAGTACTAAAGGTGAACAGGCAAACCATTTGTGACAGTTTATTTCTTTATTATTATACATTGGCCATCTTAATCTCATATTACTAGCTTTTAGCCGCGGCTTCGCTCGCGTCACAAAAGGATAAAAAGTAGCCTATGTGACATATACCAATACACACAGCGCCATCTATACCAATACTTTTGTTTTCCCTCGCGAATATAAAATTTTCTGGGATAAAAAGTACCCTATTATTTAATCCGGACTTCTAACTTTACGTCTGCAAAAATTCAAAGCAATCGGTTTAGTAGTTACGGTGTGAAAGCGGAATAAACAAAAAAACTCACTTTCCGATTTATAATATTAGTAAAGAGTAAGGATCACCAGTTTAACTCTTTAAACTGTCAAACACCGCGAGGACACCGGTGACCGCAACCTATTGTTGTTTAATTGTGTCTATAATGACCATACTCAAAGGGGTAAAATTCTTTTTTATACTGTTACGGACAAAGTGAGTGACAAAGCCTACCCAAGACAACTAAAACTACTGGTTTGAATCAAAATATTATTTTTGTGTTTAATAGGCTAGTATCCTACATTTTATTTTAATGTCCGTCTGGTAGATTATTTTAAAACTAACTAACACACGTATTTTTTATTTTCTTACAAAATTAAAAACTTTCGACGATATATTGATTTGAAATATCGTATGACGTCACGATTTACTCCATTTTACAGGGTAGCGTGACGTAACGACCTCTCACTCCTAAACTGAACTCCATTTTATCTAAGAATTGTTTTCTTATACGACAAAATAAAAAAATACGTGTCTAATATATTTTTTATCATCTAACTGACGGACTAATTACATTGCCGTCACCACTCGACACTGGCAGTATAGTCGACAACACCATTGTGAAGACTCGGTTGGCAAAGAAGAAAAAAAAAATTACATTTTTAATTTTTATACCCTTTCTACTACCCTATTGCACATTAATTTTATCTAGTAGGGCAATGCAGTGGGAGAAAAAATTAAGGACTAGCTAGTTGAATGCTCCTCAGTGTACTACAGAGACAAAAAATCATCATCATCAACAGCCTATAAATGACCACTGCTGAGCAAAGCCTCTTCTCACACGGAGAAGGTTTGAGCATTAATCATAACGCTGGCTCATTGCGGGTTTGCGATTACAAACTTATAATTAGAAATTATAAGCCCAGGTTTCCTCACGATGTTTTCCTTCACAGTTTGTCAGTGGTGTCTAGATAATATTAGAAAGTACATATAACTCGGAAAAAGTCACATTGGTACTTGCTGTTGGTAGGTTTCGAACCTGTCCCCTCATCTATGAGAAGCGGGCATCTTAAACCTCCGGGCCACCACGACAGAGACAAAAATATATGACCTTATTTTTCCCCTCCCCAGACCTAGAATATGAAATGGACGCTTCATCCCTGGCCCCGGAGCCGGCTACTTACGAGACTGCTTACGTCACGTCCCACAAGATGGCGTGCAGAGCCGGTGCCTTCAGTGCTTGTGGGCAACTGGTCGCTACTGGTTCTGTTGATGCATCTATCAAGGTATTTATTAAACTGTTGGTTCGATTATTGGGTAGATTTTAATATGTATGTAGAAAGATTTCAAAGCTTCTCTTAGTGCGATGAGAAGAGCTCGTAAACAGTACATATAACATCACGTCTTTTATCCCCGAAGGGTATTTTTTTTAACTTCTCGCACCAGGTGGGTGTTTTAGACTCTTACTGACTAAAACCCACCCCGTTCCTACCCTTGCACTTCGACCCGGAGCCCCGGTAACCCGGTAGGTTCATGGGTAGGCAGAGGTGCACATTACAGCATTTAACTGTACAATGTAACACCCACTTTTCACTATTTATGTTATGAGTTCCATGTAATAGGGGGTGAGCATATTGCCATATACCAGGCACATTTCCAGACTTCGCACTACTACTGAGATTTTTTTTTAAAACCCAGTAACACTTTGCGCCACCCGGGAATCAAACTTGAGACACCTTCGGAATTCTGTTTACGAGCTGACTGCCTCGCTGGCAGAGTGGTCGCAAGTGCGACTAGTGTTACCAGTCCACAGCGACCCATCCATAGCCCTACCTTTGTTTCCCATTATAATTTTATATAGTTCTACACTAACTAAGGACTGTCCTTAGGTGCATTTCCATAGTGCATACAGGGATAGTCGCCGGTTTGGGTGTCCATTACATTTATATTAAAGTTGTCTAAAGGGCCTCTGCGCAGTTGGCTTCGGCCCCACGTACGCCTTCCAAAAGACAGGGTGGCTTACTCTTGATTCCAATTCTGATCGATCGACATTGGTATTGTGAAATTTCGTACTCGAGTTGCAACACTAGCGTCCATTGCATCCGTATTGCGTGGATATTGAATGAACTAAATGGTATTGAGTTTGGCTTTATATTCCGTACTCTGAATGCTATTTTAACAGCTACGATAGGGGTTGTATAGTTTAGACATTGGATAATTATTGAGATTTTATGGGATTGAAATTGCATTGACATTGAGATTGGTTTCAAGAGTAAGCACCCAGGACTCTGTGGTAACGTGAATGGTAAAGACATACACATTGATACTAACTGCTGTGCAATGTGTCGTAGATTTGATTCTCGCTTGAAACAATTTTCTGTGTGATGTATAGATTTATTTATTTATTTATTTATCATTTTATGTACCTACACCACACAGACAATATTACACAGGACAACACATTATAAACATGAGGTACATAGGTACTGCATATCCCTTAAGGGATTTCTTCCTGCAGACCTGCGACAGGAAAAGGAAATTAAACATAAGACATAAGACACAGTGTAGATAGATGATACATGCAACGAATACAGAACAAAATAAAATTACTGAAAGAACTTAAAACTAGAATGACGGTAATATAATGATAAAATATAGATTGTTATGTTTGTTATAGATTCTGGACGTGGAACGTATGTTAGCAAAGTCGGCGCCGGAGGAAGTGGATCCAGGAAGAGAACAACAAGGTCACCCCGTCATTAGAACATTGTGAGTTGAGTTAAGACTAGCTGTGCCCGCGACTTTGTTCGCGTGGAATAGTGATTTACTGCGCGTACCCCATAGGTGATAGCGTATAATATGTAACCTATATGTTGACCCGACCTGTTAGTTAGTAATAATCATACAAAATTTGAAGTAAATCCATGCAGTACTTTTTGTGATCATCCCAGACATACATACAGACAAAAATACGAAAAACCATAATATTTTTGACTTCAATATCGATACTATCGATTGTAGATCACGCTCGAAGTATTCATTTAAAAAAATATTTAATGTATGTAGTTTTGACTTTTATACGATGTTATTATATATTTAAGGGGTGATGATATTTAGTTTAGATAGTATCATAACATCACGCATTTTACCCCCGAAGGGGTAGGCACAGGTATACATTACGGCACTTAATACCACTGTACAATGTAACACCCACTTTTCACTATTTATGTTATGAGTCCCATGTAATAGGGGGTGAGTCTATTGCCATATACCGGACACAATTCCAGACTCCGTGCTACTACTGTGATTTTTTTAATAACCCAGTAATACTTTGCCCAGCCTATTCACACAGGTCCACCCCGTGTCTAATGAATAAGTATTTATTTGTGGCCAAAAATATTAATACAATTTTTTTATCTCTTTCCCTAGATACGACCACACAGACGAGATCACAGCGCTAGACTTCCACCCCCGGGAACAGATCCTGGTATCCGCGTCCCGAGACTGCTGCATCAAATTGTTTGACATCACCAAGGCGTCCGCTAAAAAGGCTTACAAGTCTATCACTGTAAGTAACTATATTACTAATCTATACATATAGTAAAATCGTAGGAAAGTGAATTGGGTAACCGGAGGCCCAATTACCACTTTGCCAATCCCTGAATCCCCAACAAACCTCAAATTCCTAATCCCCAAAAGGCCGGTAACGCACTCGTAACGCCTCTGGTGTTCCAGGTGTCCATGGGCGGCACCGATTGCTTACCATCAGGTGAAGCGTCTGCTCGTTTACCGGATTATGCTATAAAAAAAAGTGCGACTGCCGGGTTCGATTCTCAGTTGTTATTCTTTCACGTCAAAACGGCTGAAGGGTTCGGGTTAAAATTTGGAATAGGGGTAGATCATGGTGTCGAATAACCGGGTCGAGTTACCGGCCTTTTGGGAATTGGAAATTTAACAATTGTGGAAGATTCGGGGATTTGGGAGACGGAGACTAGGGAGGGGGTAATTGGGCCGCCGGCCATTCGGCCATTCGACCGAATCCGACCGACATGCGACAAATCAGCCAATGAGGCAAGCAATTTTTAAATTGCGACCTTCTTTACGTATACTCAAAATAACTTATAACAAATCCCCTTCTGTTCCAGGATGCAGAACAAGTACTTTGCGTGGCCTTCCACCCACTAGGTGACCATATTATAGCGTCCAGCACTCAACCGGTGATCAGACTGTATGACGTCACCACCAGCGCCTGCTTCGTATGCCCGATACCATCCCATCACCATACAAGACAAGTTAATTCTATTCAGTAAGTGATCACATCACTATCTTCTATATACAGTGAAACTTGGTTAAGTGGGACCTGGATAAGTGAGAAACCTCCATAACTGGAACTCATGCTGAGGTCCCAACACTTTGGCACGGAATTGCCTCTGTTAGTGGGACGAGGTAAACCTCTACACCGTTAAATTTGAATCGTTTTAATCCCTTGGAGGTTCGAACTGGTCCATGAAACACTATCGATTTGTAAAGATAAAATTAAAAAATAAAGTACTTTTTTTTTAATAACTCGAATCAATTCTCGCATGAGTGAATAAATAATGCGAACCGTTAGTAGGCAGCATTCCTATCAGTAACAACCTAACAACATTGACGCGGTCGCTGGTCAACGTGGACTCGCAAACATCAGTTGATCGAGTCAATAGCCGCCGTGTAGGTACCTACACTGCCCGACCGTCGACGATACGCAACGACCGACGACGACGTAGGTAACTATCTCGTGGCGCAACTTTTGGTTTCATACATTTTGCGAGTATAATCTTATCATTTGCTAATTTATTTATTTTTTATGTTACACCGCAGTACAAGCTTGTAATGAGTAGTATTCTGTTAGTTAAACCACAGGTCCATGGGATTAAAACGACTAAAATTTAACGGTGTATA